GCTTAGGGGTCCCCCGGAGTCACCCTGCAACAAACAGAAAGGCTACTGTAGGTCCCAGTCCTCCCAAGACTTCGGGGCAGCTGTCCCAGGTCGCTGGGGTGATACCTCGGGATTGGGGGCTGGGAAGCAGCCTGGGGGTGGGATCGCTGGGTCCTGAGTTCTAGGGAGGTAGGGTGCTGGACACAGGGGCATGGACTCCAGAGGTTATAGGTGGGGGACACACCTGGCAGGCATCCTTATGGCCCCTGAGGTAGCCAGCACAGAGGTTTCCTGGCAGCACTATGCGCTCCGCCTCAGGGATGCTGGTGCCCACATGGTACAGGCGGTCACAGGTGCGTGAGCTCAGCAGTGGCACCCTCACTCCTTGCAGGGGACGCCACTCTGGAAGTGGCACTGGGGAAAAGGGGAGACTTCTGAGAGCCAGGGGAGGGCAGAGTGTAGAGCAGGGCTTGTGGAAGAAGTGGAGCCCGAGATTCTGATTTGTCAGGCAGGGGACACCCTGGATCTGGCTCTGGGGAGAAGTTTCAGGTTCTTACAAGTGGCTCTGTGTCCTGAATTGGGACTGTGAGGGTCTGGGACGCCCAGTTAGATAAAGAAAGGGGTTCCCTCAATAACCTCATGCCAAGCCTTCCATGCCTCACCTCCTGGGCGGAGGGTGCCCCAACCGGTGACCCAGCAGGGTGAGCTGGGTGGTGGGTGACTACCAGGCATGGGCAGGCAGATGGGCTGGATGTGGGCACTCATTGGTACTGGGTGGCGTAGCTGCAGCAGCACCAGGTCACCGCGGGTGGCATCCATAGAGTGGTCTGGAGGCAGCAGTACCCTCCACACTGGCACAGAGAGTGCCGGGGGTGACACAGGGCCCAGGCGCAGCATCCCCAGGCACACGCGGTACTCAGATGGAAGTGCCTGTCTGCACAACAGGGGAGGGGATCACTGAAGCAGACCCCACCCAGAAGACCATCCTGTGGGGAACTGGCCCTGCCTACACCTTCAGGCACCCTCCTCCCCACCTGCATCCATCTGGGGCTCAGGGAGCTGACCTGGCCATGCAGTGTGCTGCAGTCAGCACCCACTGGGACGCGATGAGTGACCCCCCGCATACGTGCGTCCCCCGGTGCTGGATGCTCGCCTGCCAGGGCCACTCTCCCTCACGGGCATCCCGGCCCCCCACGATCCGGCTGGACATGAGGGGTTGCCCACAGGCTGTGAGACAACAAGGGGACAGCCAGGGTTGGCGGAGGACTGGGGCCTGGAGACAAGTGTGCGTAGGAGAGACAAGGCCTAGGGCCTGGAGGGGCAGCTCTGAGGCTTCTTACCTGCAGACGCCAACGACCCGGTAGCTCCTGGAGGAGGAAGTGGAGAGAGAGCTGGATTATGGACTTGGTGTCAGATAACTGGGGGGGTGGTCAGAGATTAGGAGGGAGGCAGGGCATATGTGTGGCACTGAGCTTGTGCCAGGCTCCTATGTGATTGGTTACCTGATGTCACCTTCCTGAACACTGGGATGGGGGTGGGACCCAGGCCCTTTACACAGGTAACCTGTTGGGACTTGGAGAGCCCAAGGTCAGGAACTGAGAACATGCGGGGTGGGGGGGCCGGAAGTAGGCCCAGAGGTGGTGACGTGGATGACCTGGAGCCAAGTTCTTTGTGGCTATCACCCCTACTCCTTGCTCCACTCACCGAATACCAGCAGGCGCAGGATCTGGAGCTGGGAAGCCCCCATCATCCTGTCTCCGGGGCTGGACTGGGTAAGGCAGCTCTGCCCAGTGCTGGGCTCTGGCAGGGAGCAGAAAGGAACACCCTAACCCCATGCCCCTCCCTCAGTGGCCTTTCTGTTTGTGCTATCCCTTCCACCCAGGCTTAATACCCTTCCTTCAGCCCCGGTCCTGGGTGACCACCTCCAGCCCAGTCTGCAGTCCCCCCAGCTTTCAGATCTGGGTCTCCTAGACCTCAACAGGAGTCTTAGAACCTCATCACCAACACCGTCCTTCCCTCCCATTACCCAGGAGCTGCACTGTCCTGCCCCGGCATGCCCTGGACACTGCTCTCACCCTCACAGCCTGGTGCCCTCTTCACTATCTGGGACTAGGGGAGGGCCTGGGGCTTAAAGGGCAGAGGGGCGGAGGCTGGGCAGGGCCAAGGCAGGGATGTGGCTTCACTGACCAGCCTCAAACAAAGATTCTTTGAGCAGCACTTGGGAGGTGGCAGGGAGAGGATACCTGTACGGAGACCTGGGGCTTGCGGTCAGGCTGGGAAGCTCCAGAGAATCCTTGGCAGCTCATCTCTGAACCTGATCCTGCCTCCTGGTGGGGCATGGTCACTGGGGCTTCTGAGCTCTATTGTTCTGTCCAGTAATCCCAGCTTGGCTGGGCCAGCCAGCCCCACATGGGGCCCTGACTGCAGACTCCAGAACCCAGACCTCGGGCCTGGCCGGCTGACTCCATATGGAGAACCTAGCCAGGCCAACACCCCCTGGATCCTAGCTTAGAGTGGTAATGCATAGCTGATCAGAGCCAGATGCAGGTGTGACCTTAGGAAACAGTCCACCCTCTGGCTTGGGGTGGCCAGAACATAGCAAGACTGTTGGTCTAGGGTGAGGCCAGGAGATAGGGAAGGGGTCCAGTGGAGGGCTGGGTCCAGGACAATGCCCAGACCTGTGAGTCACCCCTTGGGTTCACCCACAGGCTGTGCAGCCCCTCTCCCTTTCTGTCGGCACTCCTGGCCCCTCAGCCTCTGCTCCTCTGTCTCTTGCTCAGAGGCCTCACTGCTGAGGCCATGTCTCCCTCACACCATGTCAAGATTCTGATTTGACATGGGTCTGGAGGTTTCATCTGTATCGTTCATCTCCTCTCCATGAAGCCGGGTCTGGGTTTATGGCCCTGAACTAGTCAGCCCAAGCTGCTGTGACAGTTATCCTAGGTGTGGCAGCTTAAACAGAAATGTACTTCTCAAGGTTCTGGGGGGTGTGGGGGTAGGGGGGATGGGGTATAAGGTCAAAGCCAACCAGGTCTGGTTCATTCTGAGGCTGCCTCCCCTTGTCCTGCTAGGAGGCCTCCATCTTGCTGGGTACTGACACGGCCTCTGGGTGCAGAGAGGAAGAGAGTGATTGTCTTCTCCTCTAAGGACATTGATCTTATTTTATCAGAGCTCCATTCTTATGACCTCACTTAATCTCAATTGCTTCCATAAAGGCAAAAACAGTCACGCTGGGGATTATGGTTTGAGTATGGTTGCCCCCCCACCAACCTCAAGTCTTGAAGCATTTTAATCTCCAAAGGTTCATGTTAATGGCATTAAGAGGAGGGGAACTGGATACTGCTATGGTTTTTGTGGTGAAGCCTTTGGGAAGTGATGAGATTAGAATAGGCTGTTCAAATAGAGCCCCCAGGATGGGATCCTGTGGCTTTGTAAGAAGAGGGAGGGAGACCACAGAGGCGAATGAGTTCCCACCCGCCCCACAGCTCAGGGCTCTGCCAGCAAGAAGGTCATCACCAGAACTGAGCCATGCCAGCGTTATGCCCTGGAGCCTGTGAGTTTTGAGCTAAATAAACCTTTTTTCACTATGAAGTTAGTTTGCCTCAGGTACTTTTATAGTAGTGAAAAGCTGACTGATATAGAGCTTCCACATAGGAATTTTGGAGGCTCAAACATTTAGTCAACAGTCTCCAGTGGGCAGAACAGTGCTCCATTCCGAGCAGGCACTGTGGATGTGGGAGCAGGTCAACAGGGCTGAGTGTGGCAGTAGGCTGGGCATGAGGGGACCCCCTGGGGACCTACCCAGCTTCTGGGTGTGGAGGTGGGGCAGGAAGTTTTAAGGCTAGTCTTGCCCATAGCCTGGACCCACACTCAAGACCACTCTGGGCTGGGAGAGCACTTGCCTGGCCTATATGAGACCTGGGTTTGATTCCCCAGAACTAAAACACCCATGCTCTGTGGGGCCGTGGCTCTCTCCTCCAGTGTGATTGGATGAATGGGCAGAGCCTGGATCAGTGCTTGGTACAAGGCAAACACAATGCCACAGGAATAAAAGCAGTAAGCTCCCGTCCTCTTCAGGCCTCCCCAGGACTGGCCACCAGTGGACAGCCTGGTGGAGATAGGGCCAGTTGTTCAGGGACAGAAGCAGCTGGAAAGCTGGAGGGCTGAATGGGAGTGGGGCCAGACCTTGGTAGGGGGGGTAGGCTGTAGGGCTGGGCACCGTTCAGCAGGTTGCTAGGAACGGTGATTGGGGTGAAAGGCAGGGACGGAGGATGGAGGGGACCCAGAGAGCCCGGCCGGTATGGGTTCTTCCTGAGAAACTGGCTCTTTTTAGGGGAGGAGTCTGCAGCAGGTTGATTAATGTGCATCTGAACTTTAGGAAGGAGGAAAGAGCCTCTAAACCCACCCCGTGTCTCAGTCCCATATTGAAAAAATGAGGCAGGGTCTCAGGCTAAGTCCACTTCCAGTTTAGCTTCTTTTTTATTGTGGGAAAACCCAACACACTCCTGGCCTGTACTTCCTGAGCTCACCACCCCAGTAAACTACCATTACGGGACTTTGGTAACACCAGGAGCATCTGAGACTCATGTAGTGGGGCACACCAAGACTGGGGGCGGGGGGCGCTGTCCACGAGGAACATTTATTCCCTGTCACCCTTCCCCAGACTTCCAAGTTCCCAGACACCCTGGGGCTATGACCCTCTTCCCACAAATCAGCTTTCTGGGTGAACTGACTGGAAAGGGTTCAGCTGTCTGTGACCAACAGCTGGACAAGATTAGGAGTTAAGGACAGGTCCTGGGCTGCATAGGTCATGGGTAATACAGACAATGGTCCAGGAAGCACTGGGTGCCCATCATGTTCTGGATTGCCAACTTGAGTATGCATGAGTGTTTATTAGCAAACAAGACAGCAGGGGAAAGGGGCTGGTCTGGGAAGCTGTCACCACACAGTACTGGGTGTCCACGGGATGGGGAAGGTGCAGAGCTATGGTTCCCACAGTACCTTCATGAGATCAGGTATGCTCAGGCTGGCCCCAGGAGCCTGGGAGCCCAGGGCAGAGTAAGGAACAGCAGTGCAGGGGACGGGTCAGGCCTGGGCATGTCATTACGGGATACGAGCATCCGGATCCAGTCAAAGTGTAGACTGACGTTGGTGTAGACTCCAGGCCGGTTGGGTTGACCACAGCCCACTCCCCAGCTCACAATTCCAATCTGATACCACAGCCCTTCCAGTTCACAGACTAAGGGTCCTCCTGAGTCACCCTGGGGAGAAGCCTGGGTGAGCCCAGCCAGGGCAGGTGAGTGGAGCCTGTAGAGAGGCTGGGGGAGCAGGGTGGCTGTGCAGCTGGCAGGAGGGGTGTGAATCCTAWTCCCTGCTCCCCAGCAGAGACAGAGCCTCAGTTTCTGCATCTGCAAAGTGGGGCCTCAGTCTCTACCTCCAGGGGCTGACTGGGTGTGGGAGGAGCACCACCAGTGGAGAATGAGCAGTATGTTTTGTAGGCTGGTGAATAAGGACTGCCGTKGCTTTACTCCAGGTGTGGGCTGGTGGGGGCTCGGAGCCTGCTCTCAGGCCTGGGGCAGGGTGGGTATGATTTCCTCATGGGGTGGGCACTCACGTGGCAGGTATCCCTGCTGCCATTCTCAGCACCAGCACAAAGCATGTCGAAACTGATGGAGCTGCGCTGAAAGGGCAACGCGAACAGCTCCCTGCACCTGCTGTTGTTGAGGATGGTGACCTGCACCTCCCGGAGGCGGTAGGGGGGTGGCAGAGGTACTGGGGTAGGACAGAGACAGAAAGCAAACTCAGCCTCTCCTCTGCCATCTAGAGCAGAGCAGGATGTGTGTGCCCAGCCCACACCTTGTAGCAGTGGGGAGGTCCAGGGTGACCGCTCCACATTGAGCGCAGTCATCAAGACTGCGGGGACCCGGCGGAAGGACAGGCAATTGCAGCTACCCTAGATTTGATATACTAATTGGACAATAAAGATGCCACCCCTGCTGCCCAGGTAGAGAATATACAAGTTGTACATGTTAAGTAGCCAACTTAACATTCTGTGAATTAGATATAAAAAAAAAAAGAGAGAGAGAGAGAGATTGAGAGGGGGAGGGCCTGGGGTCGTAGTGCAGCGATAGAGCTCTTACTTAGCATGTGTGAGGCACTGGGTTCGATCCTCAGCATCACATATGAATAAATAAAAGTCCATTGATAACTAAAACTATTTTTTTAAATAAATAAAAGAAAGGAAAAAAAGAGGGATGCAGGATTGAGGGACAAGCAAACGGGACGACCCTGGGAGACACGATAGCACGTGCAAGAAGCAGATGCAAAAGGCCACACACTCTGTGGCTGCGTTGGCAAGGAATGTCCAGAGCAGGCACTCCATGCAGGCAGAGGGCAGGCGGTGGTTTGGGCAGGCGGTGGTTGCCAGGTGCAATGAGCCCAGGCCACCAGGCACGGAGAGGAATGACCAAGGAGGGCGGGGACTCCTGCTGAGATGGAGCTGTTCTGAGGTAGATGGTGGCAGGATGGCCGCACAGCGTTGGGAACGCCCTGCAGATCTCTGAACAGCCTGCTTCGCCACTGCTGGCTATAAGTTTGGGTTTGTGAACTAAATCACAGTGGAAGGAAGTTAACGGCAGAGGCCCTTGGCAGGAGGCTGTCCTGAGCCTGCCACCCCTGCTGGCTAGCAAAGGCACATGCCAAGCCGGCCCCCCTTGCACCCCTGCCTTCTGGCCCACACAGTGTCTGCAAGGGAAGRGGACAGAGCCTGTCTTCCTGCCCTTGCAGTGGGAGCAAGAGGAGGGCAGCCCCTGAGGAGAGAATGCTGAGCAGGTGCCAGGTCCAGGAGAGACAACTGGGCCTGGTGACTAAATGGGATGAGGATAGTGCCCAKCCCATCCCTCTGTCCCCAACCTTACCCATATYCTCATRGATGACTCCCCAACCAGTCACCCAGCAGTCRGACCGGTGCAGGAACATGAAGGTAGAAGACAGGACACAGACGGGCTGGATGTACTTGCTGTAGGTGACCGAGGAGGCCAGCCTCAGCAGGGCGATGTCATGGAACTTTCCTCCATCCTGGGGGTTCACAATGATGTCCTTCACTCTGTACCGGTTTCCGTGAGCCTGCAGGCTCCAGAAAGAAAAGAGAGTCAGCTCACCAAGCTGGACTATCCACCTGGAAGCACGAGAGAACCTGGCAGGGGAGAAGAGAGTGACCTCTAGGGCCCGGGGAAGGGGGCCTGGCCATCTGAGCACACCTGGGCTGGGGTGATGCTRTGGGGCTGCTACTACTTCCTCATTATGGACACCATTAGTGTCCATGGCAAGTCCTTCTTATGGGCTCAAGGGACCCGTGTAGAAACTTCAGTCCAAGACAGGCCACAACCAGAGTACTGAGGTGGCAGGAGCAGGAGTGTGGCTCCCCCTAGTGTCTTGTCACCTCCCAGAGCTGTCCTAAGGACATAGAGCACAGTCTTGTGCCACTCAGAAAGAACAAAGCAGATGTGAGGCCAGTGCTGGTCCTGGGACTGGAAGTCAAACAGCTGGGTGGGGAGAGCTCCACTGGCCAACTGGGTGACCAGCATAGCTCCCTCCTCAACTCAAGCCTCCCACTCCATTGGGAGATGAAACTATGGTGGTTCCATTTGGTTAGAAAGAGAAGAGAAAATTACAAGAAAAATGCACAATAATGTTTTGGTAAAAAGTGATGCTAGAATTTGAACAGCGTCATCTCCAGGGATGCCAGGGAAAGTCATTTATAAAGTCATTTGTTTGTTGCCAGTTGCAGCCCTGCTTGAAGCAAAGGAAAACACGAAGCCCTATCAACATACAAGAGCGCCCCAGTGCAAGAAGGGAGGTCCCCGTTCCTTTGGATGCCCAGATTCACCTCCTGAAGCAGTGCGCGGCCGACAGCACCCAGCGGCGGCTGAGCAGGCTCCCTCCGCACGTCTTGACATTGCGCACACGCACCAGCGCCTGCCACGGCCAGCGCCCGCGCGAGGACTCCACTCCGCCCACGATCAGAGGGCGAACCTCCCGGCGGCCGCAGGGCCCTGGGGCAGACACGCGATGAGCTCGCTGGGCAGGCCCACCGCTGGGCCAGGGGCCTCTGGGGACGCGCCCACCCCCTCCCCAGGGCCCGGTCATTACTTGAGAGCAGCAGGGTGTTCATGGGACCTGAGGCGGAGGAGAGGGAGAGATGAGGCGTCCTCGCACCTTCTTCTGCACCCGACGCCGGCGCACCGCGCAGGGTGCTCATCGGGGGCGCCTTACCTGACTGCGGGTTCTCTTCCTGCGAGTCTGCGTGGAGGCCAGGAGGTGAGCGCCCCTGACCTCCACGACGCCCGCGGCCCCCGTCGCCCCGCCCTGCCAGCAGCGCCCCCTGAATTCACCCTGCTTCTCGAGTCCTGGGGGCCACAGCAGCGCCAGCAGCAGCAGCGGCGGCAGAAGTGGGCAGCTCCTCTCGCCCATGGCCTCTTCTGCAACCTGGCGCCCCCTCTGCTCCCTGCAGCTCCGCTCTAGATCCTGCCTGCGCCCCCTGCGGGAGAGGCAGCAGGCTGGAAGCCCTAGCCACCACCTTCACCCGATGAGCTCCCTGGGACCAAGGGATCCTTGGGGACCACAGTGCCTTCGGCTCCTACAGGAGTTGGTCAGCCCGCACACGTCTTGATGTGGTGCTGCAGCCAGTGAACCCCAACACCCCATTTCTTTCTGCAGCCCACGAGCGCTGGCTGTCTCCTCTGATGTCCTCTTTCCCCCACCCACAAACTCCCCCAGGAACAAGGACATGGCCCTCAGCCAGGAGCCCCCCAGGAAGCCCACTAGCACCTCCTCCTGGCAGGCTGATCTGGAGTCAGCAGTGTGGCGCCTCCTGCTAAAGGTGCTGCTCCTTTGCAACCACAGAGCTGGGCTGCCACCATGCACAGGGCTCCAGCTCCTTCTCTGCCTGCTGCCTGCAGTGGCCTCACACAACTGCCCGGGCCTCCAGGGCCTCTGCTTCCTGTGGGAGTGGGGGCAGTGTACCAGTCCCACTTGTGAATGGACAGTCAGCCAGGCATCAGCACCAACACCCCCTGGGTCAGAGAGTCCCCACCGGGTCCCACAGAACTCAGAAGAGTCAGTGTGCTCCTGGGTGAGGACACAAGCTTGAGCCTCTCTCCAGATGTGTTCCCCAGCAGAGGCCAGTGGACAGGGCTGAATTCTCCCAGAGTGGACCTGAGACTGCTGGCCCRAAGGAGTGCCACAAGGGAAGATAGCAGCTTCTGGTCACCAGGGCTATACTGAGGCRTGGTCAGGGAGACATGAGATGCCCAGGTRGGAACCTTGGTTACTCAGTCTCTGCCTGTGGCCCAAGCCCCTCGAGGAATCCCATTGTTAGTGGAACCCAGAGTGGCACCATTCTCCAAGGTTGCAGGGACACTCCTCAGTAAGGATCATCCCAGGGCACCTGTGGTCTCCCCAGAGCTGGTCAAGGGCCAATGTTTTTCTTGGACTGCGCTGGATTGGAAACCCCTGCTCCTGCTGAGTTGGCCCTGGGCGGCCCAACAAGGAGGATGGAGAATGTTCCAGGAGAACTCGGGGCCTTCATCAGAGGGTCTGTTGCAGGGAGGTCAGCTGACCACAGAGAAAGCCCAGATAATCCACGGAGAGCAGACAACTGGGAAACTTATTTTGTTTTCTGTACTGGAGATAGAGCCTGGGGATGCTCTAATGCCCAGCCGCACCCCAGCCCTTTTAAACAAAGTTTCAGACAGTTCAGTCACCAAGGCTGTGCTGGATGTGGGATCCTCCTGCCTCAGCCTTCCCGTCACTGGGATTACCAGCATTCACCACTACACCCCTCTACAACTGGGAAACTTGGAASTAGTGACCCTCAGAAAGATTCAGGAGGAGTCTTCCAGGAGGAGGCAAGGATTGTYCAGGAAAGGAGCAACTGGAGAAAAGAGAGTGTGGAGAAGTTTAAAACATCACTGCTGAGCAGAACATTTTAGCAGAAGGGCTCAGCACTAATTTGGTCATAGCTAAGTAAGAAATGCATTGGTAAGCTGGAATAGAAAGCAAAGAAAGGAACTCAGAAGGCAGAGCAAGGATTTGGAGGAGGGATTCCACGGGAGAAGGCTGTAAAGACAGAATCAGCCAGATGTGGTGGCGAATGCTTGTAATCCCAGCAGCTCAGGAGGATGAGGCAGGAGCATCCCAAGTCTTTGGGAGCTCTGTCTTAATAAATAAAAAGGGAAAAAGAGAGAGAGACAGAGACTTACCCCCCCCATCCCCCGGGGGTGTGGGAATTTAACTCAGGGATAGAACACTTGCCTACCTTGTGCAAGAATCTGGGTTCAGCTACCAGTGCCACATGTAAATGGGTAAATAAATAAATGAGAAGGTAAAGATGGCCTCTGCAGCAGGGGAATGTCCTGACTGAGCCAGTCTGAAGATGCAGCGCATTAGCTGCACTTGGAACATCCTGACTCCACATGGGCTGAAGCAAGTAATGGGCACCCTCAGAGGGGAGGACTTGGAAGGCTCTTGCCTCTCTCAGGAAATAGGTCAGCAGAGCCAGGGAGAGTCACCTCCTCAGCACCACACTCAGCAGAGGAACTATGAGCACAGAGAGGGTCAATCACGATGGCTGCAGCTCACAGAGCACCTCTGGGAGCAAGCAGCTCACTGAGGCAGAGGATGATGAATATGACAAGGACTGTGGTGATGTCTACAAAGGAGGTTTACTCATCCACTGGAAACTGCCCTGCACAGTACAGAAACTCCTCAAGTGGGAGGATTGTGTCTTTATCCGTCTAAGGTTTCTGAATCATGTGAAACTTCAGTTTCTTTTGAAATCACAAAGTCCATCATTGGGTTGGTGAGACTATGTGAGTATCTTTTTCTTTTTCTTCTTTTTTTTTCCTTAATGATCCTGGAGATTGAACCCAGAGGCCCTAAGCTACGCTCACAGTCCTTTTTTATTTTTATTTTGCAGCAGGGTCTTGCTAAATTGCTGAGGCTGGCCTTGAACTTGCACTCCTCCTACCTCAACCCCACAAGTCTCTGGCATCACAGGTGTGGGCCATCACACTCAGCAACACTGGACTTTCTTACAAAATGCCAGCAAGTACATTTCTGTGAGTGCAAACAGAAGTAGGTAGAGAAAGTTTTTTCTTTGTCATTTCTTTCTATTTAATTTTTGTTGGTGGTACCAGTGATCACACCCAGGGACTTGTGTTTGCTAGGCAGGTGTTCTACCAGTGAGCTACATCCCCAGCCTGCCATTTCTTTCTAAATGCTTTCTTTCTGTTTCAGCTTTAATATACATTGTCGAAAGAACTGCACAAAAGATGAAAGCAGATGAGGAAATTTTAAYGTCAGATAAAACATGTCCAAGGCTAGAGGTCTTTGGTTTGAAAACTGAGGATCTTTTCCATAGACAAAAGTTGCATTCAGGGGCTGAGGCTGAGGCTCAGTGGTAGAGCACTCACCTAGCATTTGTGAGACACTGGGCTCGATTCTCAACACTACATATAAATAAATGAATAAAATAAAGGTCCATCAACATCTAAAAACAAATTTTTTTAAAAAAAGTTGCATTCCACTAAAAGATGTAGGAGGCATGTCCCTCTGTGTCCCCAGAACAGAAGTCTTGGGAACACATAAGCAAAAAAGTGTTCAAAATACTCAAGCAACTAAAATCCAGATTTCCCCCCTCAGAATTCAGGAGATCAGTTAGAGATGAAAATGAACAAGTGGAGAAGCCGTCACACCAGGGTTGTCACCACRCATGATTTCCACTGCACTGCAGCATTTGGGTGCTCAGTGGGTCATGGTGTCCCTGGGGCACTGAGGCCCTTGGAAGTTGGTTACCTGGAGATGAGGTGGAGGGCAGCCCCAGTGCCAAGGCTGGCCAGAGATCCCTGCCCAGCAGCACATCTGGGAGGCCCCTGATCCCAAGAGACAGGCCCACTGCCGCCCCCTGGTGGCAAGTGGGCAGATGTCAAGGCGTGGGCTATGGGTGGTCAGAGGGCAGGTACTTCCATTTTTCCTGTTAGGATCCAGTGTCCTTGATTAATGAGTTTACCTCTCTCACCCCTAGTGTCCTGGCCCACCTAAGGCCCACAGAGCCTGGGGATGGAAGGTCAATGGCCAACAGGGCAGAGTGGGTGTGTTTGTCCAAGATGCCTGTGGCAGGTTCTGAGYTCTACAGCTCCACTGCCCATCCAGCCCACAGAGACACAGTCAGCTGCAGCACAGAGCAGAAGGTAGAATTGTTTGCCCATTCCTGTGGGACTCAGCAGGTCCTCACYCTGCAGTCTCAGTTCCTCTGCTGCACAGTTGGGGGTCATAAGAGCTCTTGGGGGCAGGGGGTATGTCCTACAGGAGGTGTCAGGCCAGGCACTCAGTACTTTAGCTAGCACTCAGTGAAAGGTGAGTATTGTGATTCCAGGACAAGAGCAGGGGGAGGGGAGCCCTGGGAGCTGGGTCAAGGACCCAGATCATGCAGGCCTGGACCCTTGTTCTCAGGCATTGTGTGGAGGCCTTAGGCCCTGCCCAAGTTTGGAGGACAGGTGTGAGCCCAGCCCCACCCCAGCATGAGCCCAGGAGACCATGAGCTGCAATCATCTCCTTCTTCCCAGAGTGTCTGGGAACTCCGGCCCCAAGACCAGTCAGGTGTACAAGTGCAGTGCAAGATGGCCGTAGCCCTCCCACTATCTTGCTCTTCCTCCTACCTGGAGCCCTTCTGGGGAATGAGAGTCCCTCAGCTCTCCAGCCCACCCTGTTTCCCAAGTTGGCCTCAAATCTGCTATCCTTCTGCCTCAGCTTCCTAAGTCCCTGGAATTACAGGCAAGCACAGAGTTGGGTCACAGCTGCTTGCATTTTAAAAAGCCTAATGTACATTTTTGCTCATTTGGGCCCAATCTCAAATGAATCCGAGTAAACTTACATGTTTGCATTCTGCCTAGGGTTAACTAAAAGTGCAAATTTCCAAGAAAACTTGAATAACAAAATTATCTTGTCTAGGCAGAAGGGAAAAAATAATCCAATGCACTCATGTAAACCTGTAATTTCAGTTCAAGAAGTAACTTAAAACCATTCGCAGAAATATCTTAGGCATGCCAATCAAACAAAAGTATTAATCGAAGCAGACAGAACCCAAAAGTCAATTTACTTTTTTTTTAATATTTTTTATATTGTTGTTGGACACATGCCTTTGTTTATTTTTATGTGGTGCTGATGATTGAACCCAGCGCCTTGCATGTGCTAGGCGAGTGCTCTACCGCTGAGCCACAATCTCAATCCTCATTTACTTTTTTAAGAAAGCCACAAGTTGTGGGGCTGGGGTTGTGGCTCAGTGGCAGAGCGTTTCCTACCATATGTGAGGCACTGGATTCGATCCTCAGCACCACATAAAAATAATAAAATAAAGGCATTTTGTCCATCTACAACTAAAACACAAACAAACAAACAAACAAACAAAAAAGCCAGTGACGAGTCAGCCCCTGTGGCACATGCCTGTAATTCCAGCGGCTCAGGAGGCTGAAGCAGGAGAATTGGGAGTTCAAAGCCAGCCCAGGCAATTTAGCAAGGGCTTAAGCAATTCAGTGAGACCCTGTCTCTAAATAAAATACAAAGGGATGGATGTGGCTCAGTGGTTAAGGTCCCCTGGGTTCAATCCCCGGGATCAAAATAAATAAACAAACCTCCATGATGTTAAAACAAAATGACAAAATGTGAGCAGAAATCTCTCTGCTAAGAAAAAAAAAAAAAAAAAGGAGCCGTAGCCTGCTCCCCACACCCCAGCTGTGTCTAGGAATCCAGGGGCAATTTAACCTTGGTGAGTTTGAATAAAATCCTGTCCAATGCTGTCTTCAGAATTACTTTCAAATTGTTTTTTTATTCCAAAAAATACCAGGGCCAGGTCTATTACTGAAGAGATCATCTTTTGCTTAGATTCAGGCTGAGTGCTGTAAGTTGATCAGGACGTGCCTGCAGGAGTTCTCAGAGGGCACCACCCACCCACCSMCCCCCCCCCCTCCGCCAAGGAAACCAGAATAAACAGGGCACCCTTCCAAAACAAGTTCCCCGAGAGGAGAAACTGGACTGCGGCCTTCCCTGGCTGTGTCAAGCTGCTCACTACCCCAAACACACCACGTGGACCCAAAGGGCCTAAAAGTCCCCAAGCGGAGACTGAAGTTCCTGATCCGTACTCGCGCCAATCGGTACCGCAAAGGACAGGCATTGGATCCAAATGGCACACGACCTCTGCAGATGGGGTCCCCCGACCCCTGACGCAGTTTCCTTCTGCAGCGTGAGTGAGGCGAAGGGAAGGGTGTGTCTCCAAGGCCGCTGCTGGTGAGTGAGTTCAGACTCACTGCAAGGCCAGCACCGCTGGTCGCGGGCGGGGACGCGACGCGGGACTCAGGGTCGCCCCGCTGGGAGGCGCAGCCGAGGGACTGTTAGGGCTGGCCGGCCGCGGCCCTTATCCGACGGAGGACGCGGAGGCCCTGGGGAGGCCCTGGGCGGGGCCGCAGTTTCTCCCCCTGACTCCTGCCTCCGGAGCAGGGCGGACCCGGTGGCCGCAGCCGCGCCACTGCTGTCGGGGTCCCGCCTCGGGCGCGTGGTCCGCGGGCCGCGCAGCAGCTTCAACCCCACGGGCGCGCGGGGCGGACGGCAGGGGGCGTCCCGCCTTGGGCTGCAGGGTCTGCCCAGCCGTCTCTCCCTTGTTCCTCCCCAGCCGCCGACCCGGCAGGATGTCCCGGCTGGGGTCCCTCAGTCCAACGAGCGGTCGCCCCCATGGGCTGCACAGCGGAGGGGCGGCGCTTGGGCGGGACCCACGTGTCTGCGCGTCCTCCCCCCCTGCGGCCCCGCCGGGCGCAGACCTCAGCCGGGAGGATCCAACGCTCTTCCAAGTTCCAGGCCGCTGCAGGCTGCAGGCCACCCGGCGGGGAACACATCCTGCAAGGCATTGGGCATGAAGGGACAGAGGTGTGAAGTGCGGTAGGAGCAGGTCCAGCCAGCAGCAGGCGGGCGCAGGCTGCACCGAGGCTGCCGGGGCGATCTAGACGGAGAACGGGCGCCTGCAGAGGCCAGGCTGGGCCGACACACCAGACCGGCAGCCAGTGCAGGTGGAGCAGCCAGGGGGGCCTGGAGGAGAGTGGCGGCTCTGTAAGGGCGCAGGAGTGCTGGGACAGGACGCTGCCCGTGGGGCTCAGTGCTGACGGAACTTGTCCACAAGGGTTTTTAATCTCTCCGTGGCAACCGTGAGACGGGGGAGAGGAGACCAGGCCACAGTGTAGAGAGGGCAGTACATCCTTTGCGGCTCACTCCCAGAGTGGGGAGTCAGAAGCCCTTTCTAGCTTTCCTCCCAGGCTCACACCTGAGAGGAGCTTCAGGGTGTGCAATTTCCAGGAAGTGGAGCTGTGGGTGGCACCAGGAGAGAGGAATCTGGCCACAGCATCTTCATCTTCTGTTCTCACAGCATTTGGGGATCTTGCAAGACCCACTCTGCTTGAATAGGCTAGAGACCCCCCACCAAAGCTGCCCTGGTGAGCAGGTCTCTGGCCACACTAAGGAGGGCCTTCGGGTGCAGGTAGGGTGGTGGGTGTCTTCCCACTGCCCACTCCCACCACCTCCTGCTGATGCTGCAATTGATGAAGCTCAGATTGACAGCCTCAGCTGGAGTCAGCTCCTGCTCTGGAGAATCCCATGCCTTGGGACCACCCGTGCCTTGGGGGTCAGGAGGAATGCCAGCCCTGCTGTCCTTGTCCTCAGTGAACCGGTGCTCAGGTTACCCACAAGGAGAAACTGTTTGTATAAACTCAGTACTTCCCTGCCTCAGTTTACCAACTTCCTCACCTGCACCAAAGGCCTGGTCCTAGTTTGGCTTTTAGGGGACCAGAGTAACACCAAGAGTGACTGACATTTGCATGATGGTGTACACTGGGATGCTCTCCAGCACCCACACCCCCACTCTTCCCAGCTCCCAGATACCTTACAACTACACCCCTCTTGAAAATTATCTGATTGAACTAAATGGAGAAGGTTCTGCTGTTTGCATTAGCCGAGCCTTTGGTTAGTTGGGGACAGGTCTTGGGCTGAACTGGACAGGGGTGAACAGGAGGAAACTGTCAAGGAAGCCACCAAGTCTGGAGGAATGCTGAATGTGTTTATTAGCCAACAGAACAGAAGAGGACCAAAGCTTTAACTAGCAGAAGGTTCCAACCCTCAAAGGCCAGGTTCATTTAGACTGGTCCCAGGAGCCTGGGAACCCAGAGCAGAGTAAGGAACAGCAGTGCAGGAGAGGGGTCAGGCCTGGGTATGCCATTACGGGCTATCAGCATCCGGATCCAGTCAAAGTGCTGACTAACGTTGGTGTAGACTCCAGGCCGGTTGGGTCGACCACAGCCCACTCCCCAGCTCACAATTCCAATCTGATACCACAGCCCTTCCAGTTCGCAGACTAAGGGTCCTCCTGAGTCACCCTGGGGAGAAGCCTGGGTGAGCCCAGCCCTGGGCAGGGTAGGTGGGGCCTGCAGAGAGGCTGGGGGAGCAGGGGTGGCTGTGGAGCCAGGAGACTGGGTATGAGTTCTACTGTCTCTTCCCCAGCAGAGACAGAGCCTTAGTTTCTGCATCTACAAAGTGGGACAGTCTCCACCTCCCAGGGTTAGCATGAGATCAAATGAGGTATAGGGTGATAAGTTGATGTCTGGCCTGGGGCTGGGAACAGTGGGATACTAGTTGCAGAAGATCATGGTGGGCTGGGGTGACACTCACAAAGCAGGAATCCTTGCCGCCTGCGAGCTGTCCGGCACAAACCATGTCTCCCCAGATGCTATAGCGGAAGTCTGACATTTGGTACAAGTGGTTACAGATGGTGGTGTTGATGATGGAGACCTGCACTTCCTGGAGGGTGTAAGGAGATGGCAGATCTGTGGGGGACAGGGGACAGAGAAACAGGCAACTTGATTCTCTGCTGGGGTTGGGGAGAGACATCATAGGCTGTTGGGTAGGGGTGACCCTGGGCACCAACAATGCCTGCAACTGTCTCCTGCAGGGCCTGGGCTCCAGCCCTGTACTCAGGAACAATCAACAAGTTACAGAAGAAGGCTAGGGTGTAGCTCAGTGGTAGAGTGCATGTTCCAGGCCCTGGGTTGAATCCCCAGCAACCCCTGCAACACACAAAAGAACAATATCAAAGAGGGACCTGTGGAGCCAGGTGCAGTGGTGCACCCCTGTAATCCCAGGGGCTTAGGAGGCTAAGGCAGGAGGATCACAAGTTCAAACCAAGCCTCATCAATTTAGCAAGGCCCTAAGCAACTCAGTGAGACCCTGCCTCTAAATAAAATATTATTTGTGGTTCAGTGGTAGAGTGTGCGAGGCACTGGGTTCAATTCTCAGCACCACATATAAATAAATGAATAAAATAAAGATCCATCAACATCTTAAATTTTTTTTTTTAAAAAGGGCTGGGGATGTTGCTTGGTGGTTTATCATCTGTGTCTTCAATCTCTGGTACCAAAAAATAAAGAAAGAAAAGGAAGGAAGGAAGGAAGGAAGGAAGGAAGGAAGGAAGGAAGGAAGGAAGGAAGAAGGAAGGAAGAGGGACCAGTGGAAGTACAGGCTGTTTGCACTCTGCCAACACTCAGTTTCTCTCACTGTAGAATGTACACAAAGCTCCTGCCTGAGGCAGTGGGGTGATTTCTCCGTCAAAATAAGCATAAGGGGAGGGGCTAAGAAGGCTGAGATGGTTTTATGATTAACAAAGCCCTGCTGCAGCATCCAGATGCCAGACAGGGTGGGAGCCATCCATTGATGCTCTCTCCTTGATGACATCCGGGGCACCTCCAAGGCCTGAACCATGTGCTCTCAAGGTTCCTTCATCACCTCTGGGATGGTGTGGCATCAAGATCCACTCCCAGATAAAGAACAGGTCAGGGGAAGAGTCACCTCCAGAAAGGCACCAGAGAAGTGTCAGAGCCTGATGTGAACCCAGTTCCTGTCTGGGTCCAGTTACCACAGGACCCTGTAGAGGATGACAAGAGCTGACACACAGATAGTGCTTCCTCTACACTGGACACTTCTAAGAGCTTGGGTGCTAACCCTGTTAAACCTCAGAGCTACCCTGAGATTAAGAGCTCCCCCGCCCCCAGCTGCTGGAGATGGAACCCAGGGCCTCACACATGCTAGGCAAGTGCTCTACCACTGAGCTATACCCTCAGTCCTTTTTTAAAAATTTCATTTTAAGGGCTGGGGATGTGGCTCAAGCGGTAGCGCGCTCCCCTGGCATGTGTGCGGCCCAGGTTCGATCATCAGCACCACATACCAACAAAGATGGTGTCCGCCGAAAACTAAAAAATAAATATTAAAAATTCTCTCTCTCTTTAAAATATATATATATTTTTTCATTTTAAGACAGTCTCACTAAGTTGCCCAGGTTGGCCTTGAACTTGAGATCCTCCTGCCTCAACCTACTGAGCAGCTGTGCTGGCCACACCCTGTGGCTTGGAAATTTTGAGAAGAAAGGGCTCAGCTCTCTGGGACAGGCAAGTGGAACTGGGGTGGCTGCAGAAGGCACACTGAGGCTCAATGGTGGGCTGGCTGAGGAAGTGGGAAGACACATGAATAAAGCAAGGCTGAGGTTCTTCTCCACACCCTCAGGACCCCCATCTCTCAGGCAGGCCAAGCTGGCCTCCTCTGCACCCCTTCCTTCTGGTTCACATGGTGTCTGCAAAGGAAGGGGATGAGCCTGTCTTCCTGACCTTGCAGTGGGAGCAAGAGGAGAGAAGCCTCTGAGCAGAGAATGCTGAGCAGGTGCCCAAGTCCAGAGASGGGCAGCTGAGCTTGGTGGCTAAATGGGATGAGTAGTACCTTCTCCCAGACCCACCTATCCCCAGCCTCACCTTCACCCTCTCTGATGTCCCCCCAGCCGGTCACCCAGCAGTCAGTCCGGTTCTCGAATTCCAACGCGGAGGGAACGATGCAAATAGGCTGGATAAGGTTTGTGTACTTGACAGAGGAGTCCAACCTTAGCAGGGCAATGTCATAGGGCGCCTTCCCCTTGAATTGGGGGTTCAGATAGATATCTTCCACTTGGTAACGATTGTAGTAGGCCTGCAGGTTCCAGATACCTGGCCTAGAAGTCAGCTCGCCAAACTGGACCGTCCACTCAAAGGGATCAAGGGAACTGGTGGGGGAGAAGAGAGCCGGCCACCTGAGTACACCTACACCCCTTCCTGATGGGACACTGCGGGGCCACTACCACCTGCTCATCTCAAACACCATTAGCAAGTCCCTCTGATGGGCCCTCAAGACAAACATAACCAAAGCCCTCACTTCAGGGCTCTCTGAGGACAGTGGCTCCCTCCAGTGGTCTTGTCACCTCCAAGAGCTGTCCTAATGACATGAACCCCTATGTAGCCCAAAAGAACTGAACAGATGTGGGTAGTGGTGTGGGTGCTGGGCAGGATTGAGTCAAACCGCTGCTCTGGAGAGAGCTCCACAGGCCAGGCTGCTTGGCCAGCACCTGCCCCACCCCTTAGCCCCCGACTCCTGAGGTATACATCTGCAAGGTAGGTGGAGGGTGGTAGGAAAAGAAAGGGGAGAGAGAAAGAAAAGGGCCAGCAATACACTCAACGGTGCATGGGAATGCAATGGAAGAACATTCTGGAGGAAACTGAAAAAGGTTCCCTCCAGGGGCACCCACAGAAACTCAGGTGGGTACAACCAGCTGCAGCAGAGCCTTGGGCTCAGTACAAGAGCCTTGGGCTGCATACACCTGAAATGGTGTATGCAAGTGTGGCCCTGGCCGCGGTCACTTCCCACCTGCCCCCAGCTCTCTCCCCGACTCACGTTTCAAAGCAGTGGGCGGCAGTGAGCACCCAGCGGCGGCTGAGCAGGCTGGCTCCGCACATGTGGCTGCCCCACAGGCGCAGGCTCCCTTGCCATGGCCAGCTCTCGAGTCTCGCGTTCTCTCCACCCACCACGCGGGACGGGAGGGTCCGGTGGCCGCATGGCCCTGGGATGGTCAGACGAACCTGTGGTGGCTGTGTTGAACGAGACAGGCCCACCCCGCCCGGCTTGCCCCCGGGGTCCCTGGCACCCCCCCAGGGGCTCCATCGAGGCCCCGCGAGGCCCCGCGCATCCTGGGTCTGGCCGTGGAAGGAGACGTGGTTCTGGGATCCTCCCCTGTGGCCCGCAGGCCCAGCCCTCCCACAGGGCCCCGTTACTTTCAAACACAGATGAGTCCTCGAATCTGGGGTGAGGGAGAGGAACAGATGAGGCGTCATTTGCACCCCGGTGCAGGCGCACCACAGCCACACAGGTAGCGGGCATCCTGGGCGCCTTACCTGACAACAGGTCCACTTCCAGCGATTCTGGGTGGAGGCGAGAAGGTGAGCGCCCTTGACCTCGGCACCCGTCATCCCCTCCATGCCACCAGTGCTGCCAGCAGCGCCCCCTGCACTCACCCTTCTCCTCCTCGGGTTCCACCCGAGACAGTAGCAGCGCCAGCAGCAGCAGCAGCTTCTCGACCCGAGTGCTCATGGCCTCCTCTCCTGCAACCTGGCGCCCCTCTGCTTCCTACTGCTCCAGGCCCTGCTGGCGCCCCCTCTGCTTCCTACTGCTCCAGGCCCTGCTGGCGCCCTCTAGGGGAGAGGCAGCAGGCGGGAGCCCTGGCCACCACATTCTCCCAGCAGGAGCTCCCTGGGCCTACGCTGAAGCCCTTGGGTTCAGCTGCGACGCGGGTTGGTCAGCCTCTGCACTCCTTGATATGGGGCAGCGGCCAGTGAGCCTCAGCCCTTTCTTGTCTCCTGGCTGCCTTCCCTGTTGCCCGCTTTCCTCCACCAGGACCAAGGACCTGGCCTKCAGCCAGGAGCCCCCAGGTAAGCCCATTAGCACCTCCTCCTTGTTTGCCAGGCCAGGAACATATTCCTTCACAGGACTTTGTTGGGGACTTTGTGACGGCCTTGGGCTTTGTGTCTGCTAGCGGGCAGCAGTCTGGTCCCCACCGGCTTAGGCTGCCCCCTAGAGGCAAGCCCCCCTCGCTAACCTCGTTGAGCCTTTCTTCCCCTTTAAATTGGAGGTACACACTATTAGTGGATTGCCTTAATTTTTTAAAAAAATAAATATATTTATATGTACATTTAAATTTATTTATTTAATGGTACTGGGAATTGAACTCAAGGGTGCCTTACAGCTGAGTTACTTCCCCAGCCCTCTTTATTTTTTGAGCCAGGCCTGCTGCTAAGTTACCTAGGCTGTTCTCAAACTTGAGATCTTCCTGCTCAGCCTCTAGGATCACTGGTATATTTTTTGTCTTTAACTGACATAATTGTACATAGGTATGAGTACAATGTGACTTTTCAATGCATGCATACCATGTGCAGGGATCATATTCATCACCACAAACCTTTATCACCTCTTTGTGTTGGGAACATTCAAAATCCTCTACACTAGCTAATCTATCATTATATTATATTCAGTATAATATTATATTATATATATTATATTCAATAAATTGCCAACTACAGTTCCCTCACTGGGTGCAGCACTTTAGAATTTATTCCTCCTCTGTAACTGCACCCCTGCACCTGATAACCATCCTCCCCCTTCTTCCCAGCCTCTGGTGACCCCATTCCATCCTCTACTTCTTTGAGATGAGGTGTTTTTAGCTTCAACATATAAGCGAAGACATTCAGTTTCTCTCTTTCTGGACCCAATTTACTTAATTTACCACAATGTTGTCCAGGCTCAGAAATGCTCCTGAAGACGAGAGATTTCATCCGACACTGGGCTGAATCATGATGTCTTGCTGTGCTCAGTGCTGCCCACTCACATCGAAGCTGTGGTGAAGGACAACCAATACGAATCCTGACAGAGCTGAAACTGCCTTTGACAAATGTTACTGTCCAAGGGTCAAAGGAATGAGTGGAAAGGGAGACAGACACACCACTGGGTGGGCTATCCCAGTGTCCTTGTGACCAGAGGCTTCTGGAGGGGGGTCTGTGGAGGGTGTGCTTGCCTGGTACCCCTCTGTGTCTGAAACACTCCCAGGGACACGGTGGGTTTTGAGGAGTGTTGACGTCCCCAGCACTGCCTTCAGGGAGCTCCCTCCAGGTAGGACAGTCAGGACTTGCAGGAGTGTCCCAAATGTGTCCTCTTCATGGGAGTCCTGGGACTTGGGACAAGTGCTGAGGCAGGGGTCGGCAGAGGCCCTGGCTGGAGGCACAGCAGAGATCATTCCCAGATGGCATCCTTGACACAGGGCACATGGTGTGCTGCTGTGGTTACACCAGCTCACTTCTATGTCTCCTTGACTTCACACATCAGTGGCCAGGTCACCCCTGCGGAGAAAGTAGCAGTGGACCTGGGCTCAGATCAAAGCACTCGGGCAGAACAGGCCTCAATAGTGGGCTGGGGCTTGGGGAGAGACCCAGTCCATGTACATAGCAAGGGGCAAGAGTTTCCCTAAATCATCCCCCTCTGCTTCCCTTAGCCCTCCAGCAGTTGTATCTGAGCCAGTTTCTTGAGCACTCCTGGCCACTGGGACCAAACACAGCTCATCACCCAAGACACACAGCCAGCCACCACTCTGATGCTGTGGGGAGGCACAGGGAGACTTTCTCAACTGCAGCCCAAGGGAGCATTCAGGCTGCAGGCCCTGACCAAACCCCACAGACTGCCCAAGGCCTCCAGAGCCCCTTCCAGCCCAGCCCTCAGAGAGCAGCAGGACAGGCTTCTTCCTGGCATTCAGGTCCACAACTTCACCTCCTTAACAAGGCTTTCTCTGCTCTGTATGAAAAGCAAACCATAAAGGCCCCCACTACCTGTCCACTCACTGCCCCAGAACTGAGCAGTGTGGCTGAAATGGTCTCATCTGGTGGTTGTGCCATGGCTATTGGCCACCTCCAAATTCTGCTCAAGGCAGGCTTGGGGAACACTTGCGGAACTGGATGGTTGTTGGGTATAAAAGGAAGGAAGGGGCTGGAGGAGGAGGAACAGGAGGTGCATAGTGTCCCCAGGGATGAGGACCCTGGATTGGAGGCAAATCAGTGGGACAACCTGCAGAAGAGTGGCTTAGCCAGGGGCCTCACTGAGCGGCTCCATGGATGCCCTTGGAGAATCTCAGATGTTGGAAGCCAGAGGCAAGATCTGCCAGGCTCAGGAGTCCCTTGGGTGTCATGGGGTTGGGGAAGCACTTCCTCCTCTCCTCTCTGCTCTCCTATAGCCTCCCAGGCTGCCACCACCCAGCTCCTATCCCCAACAAAGTCCTGTGAAGGAATATGTTCCCCAGCAGCTGTTGTGTGGTGTGGGAGGGGTCTTCTGTATGAGTGGAGGGGGCCATGCTCCTTCCTCTTGCACCCCAGACAGGCAACACATAGCATGTAAGAGCTTTGGGGCCAGGTTACCATGCTGTGTCCCTGATGGTCAGCTGAAGTCTTATCTGAATGACCAGCTGGTTGATCTGGAGAGAGTGTGGGCTGTTTCCTTCCAGCATGGTCAGCTATATCCCCTGGTCTCTGGCCTCCTAGCTACAGCCCCATCCCAAACAGCACCACAGCTCTCTGTCCCCATCCCTAGCTTTCACTTAGCTCTGCTAGACTCACCACCCATAACGAGTCACTCTTGGAGGCAGACTGTCCTGTCACAGCAGCTGAGAAGGAGTGGCAGGAGCCTACATGCCCCAGATGCCCAAATGAGGCCCCAGGGAAGGGCCTAGGTCCAGGGGAGTGAGGCAGCAGGGCAGGGACATTATGGAGGAAGCCCTAAGCGCAAGCACAAGGGCCCAGAGAGGCCAAAGAGGGTGAGGAGGGCCCATGTGGGGGCTTGTGACAGAGGGGACCTATGACTCCAGGGGCTCTAGGAGCCCTGGGAGAGGGGTGTCCTGGGATGGAGGCTGAAACTCCCACCCAAAGAGGCTCAAACTGCCCCCATTTCCTGCCTCTGGACCTAGGGGTCCCCACTTGCCCTTCCACCCCTGCTGGGGTCCCAGCCTGTGCTTCTGCCTCCAGCTCTCTTCTTAGCTGTCTTTGGTCAGAACCCAGAGTTCTCTGGAGAGACTGGGAAGAAGAGTGAGAAAGGAGAAAGACTAAGAGCACTTCCAAGTCTGCTACCAATCCTGTGCCATTTACACCCAGCAGGTGTGAGATGTCATACCACCTGCCCAGTCCAGGCAGACCCAGGCCTGACCCCCAGCCCTGACCACAGCCCAGGCATTGAACTTCAGACCTGTCCATGACTCTGAGATTGATCCCAGCTCTGCCATGACCCCTAGCCTTGCTCATCACCTTGGGATCTATCAACCCCTACCAATGAACTGTAGACCCCAGGTCTGCTCAAGACCCTCAGATTTACCCAATGCCACCTGTGACCCCAGGACTCACCCATGCTTTGCTCAAGTTCTTGGTATTATCCCCCGGTCCTGTCAATGACTCCAAGACCCCCTGGATGTGCTGCTCTCATGCCCACTTTGCTTACGAACAGCACTGCTGAGGAAAAGTGGGCTTGGGCACCAGGAGATCCCACTCCTGTTTCCCTGTCTGCAAAATGGGGCCAAGAGCAATGAGCACTTCCCGGGGCCGCTGTGAGCATCTGGCCATACTGCAAGTGGAGGCTGTGGCTGGTAGGCCTGGGTGGACATGTTCTGCTGGGTCTAGTCTTTATTGTCTCAAAGACAGACTCGCTGCAGGGAGCCCAGGCCAGCCCCAAGAGTCCCAGAAACCAGCAAAGAAAGATATTCTGAGTGATGGCTGCACCCTGTGGCTCAACTCTGGATGGGGCATGAGAAAGGAGAAAAAGTTGCCAGGCTCTGTCCCCAGGGAACCACAGGGCAGCCAGGCAGGCGAGAAACAGCTCAGGGCCCACAGGGACCAGCGGGAGGCCAGGGCTTATCAGAGGCTTACAAGGTCTAAAGAAGGGGTGGGGGGAGGTCTTCTGCGAGAGAGCTCCAGAGGGCAGGGCATGGGGTGGAGGGCAGCGTGTGGCTGACTTTGGTGTAAACAACTGGATTCTTGGGGAAGTTATACTCATCCCCCAACTCACCACTCATGCCTGGGCCCAGATGCCAACAATGTCACAGACCAGGGGGCTTCTGGAATCACCCTGGGGAGAAAGAAAACGTCCAGAGGTGCAGGGATGCCCAGGGCCAGTTTTCCTGGACACAGAAACTGGGCCCTCCACCCCTACCCCAGTCCCCCAGCCTCCCTCTAGCACTTCAAGCCCAGAGCTAGGAGGAAGAGGGTCAATGCCCTGAGAGTTTTTGGGAGCAGGTAGGGGTAACTGGTCTGGGAACTAGAGGGGGATGGAATTCCTGCAGATGGGACAGGCAGTGTGACAGGGACCATATATTTCTAAATAAAATTTAAATTTCTGCTACAGTTGTGTATTTCAGAGTTGAGACTCAGAGAAGCACTTTCGAGTTGCTGACTGATATTTCCATTTGTTTCATTTTCTATGTAAAATATCTCTTCTTTGAGGGAAAACAGTGAGGCGTGTGGCAGGTGCATATAAGAGCAGACTGGGAAAGACACCACCAATCAAGCCCA